TTTCCCTGCCCTCGTCTGCTCCCAGATATGGAGCCAGGCCCAGGCATCATTTCCCCCTGGCTCACAGGCTGGCCATGCCTGTGAACAGCCTTGGTGTTGCAGATGCTGTTGGCACACTCACCTTGGCCTTCCACGGCATTCCTGGTGCACTTTCCTAGGGTTCCTGCCAGCTTCCTCTCCCCAGAATGACCCCAGCTCTTCCTTTGAGTATCTGTGAAATGTGACCACCTGGCACCTCAATCCCCCTTTGCTGCCTGTGAAATCTGGCTCTGCCTTAGGGCACTGGCACTCCAGTCAGGAGCCAGGAGTTTCCCTTGTCATGCTTGGGAGTTTCCCAGATGTCTTCCCTTAGCCCAGGCTCTCACCAGGCCCTAAATTCACAGCCCATGTGCATTGGAGCACATGCACCCCCAGTGTATCTGCTTTTTTCCTATCCTCTTCCAAGGCTTGAGGTAGCAGGTTCCTCCAGGCCATGGTGGCTCAGAGCACTGTCCTCTCTGACCAGGCACTCTTGCTGTGAGTGGATCTTTGGAGCTGCTGTCTCTTTGTGCCTGGCACATCTGCCCTCACGCTCATTCTGCAGTTGCCAATTGTGGCAGACCTTACTTTGCCCAGCAGTTGGAATTGCACTGAATAGACGGTTCCCTGTGACCAGAGGCACTTTACTTCAACACCTAAGTGATCTCCAGTGTCTGTGTGCACACAGGAGTGTGGTCAGGATAGAGCATGGTTTTGACCTTGAGGCTGCCTTTGCATTTCCCCAGCAGAAAATACTTGTTGTGCACTGCAATGTGCTTTGGATTCTGCCCATCTTGTGGTTCAGGAAGCACTTCCAAATGGACTCAGCCCCATCTGGGCCAGAATCCAGTCATAGAAGTGCTGTGTGGAGGTGAAGACTCCAGGCCGCTTTGCTCTGGCACAGCCATATCCCCAGCTGGGTATTCCGACAACCCACCAGGAGTCAGCGTTGTTGTCCTGGCACATGAGAGGACCACCGCTGTCACCCTGCAGCAGAGCACAGAGGATTAGGTGGTGCTGGGTGACTGTGTCAGCACAGGGGCTGTCTCCTTCTCTCTCAGAGCCCCTGCCAGTGCTGTATTCAGGTGCCTAGGCCTCCAGAAACTTGGCTGTGAACGGCTTGGGGTCCTGTAAATTAGTGCTCTCTCTGTCCTCTCTGCACAGGACTCCTGGATGTGCAGAGCATGGATGGAACTTTGGCACCTGGACCTCTTCACTGCCAAGAGCACTAGCTGGGCTTTCTGGGCTTTCTGTCACAAGGGGAGGCCTGGGCAGGCAGGTGTGGACGGGCAGTGTGTGGGAAGCCCCCACAGCAGTCAGGGGGAGCTGGGGCTGGGAGGGTGACTGAGTGGCCGGGCAAAGCAGGCCCTGGCCTGTGTTGGGGTGGTGCTTCCCTGGCTGCTGGTGCTGCTCGGGGCTGAGTGGCTCGTGGCACGTTCCTACCTGGCAGGTGTCGATGCGGCCCTCTGGGTATCCAGCACACACATTGTGGGTGTGGACTTTCCCTGCATACCAGCCAGTGCTGTTGCAGAGCTGGAGATCGATGAGCTGGACCTTGGCCTCTTGCAGGACATCACTTGAGTTTTGAGCTGTGAGCAGAGAAACTAATGATAACCCTGTAGGTCCTTGCCAATCCTGCTCTGCTGCTTTAGGGGAATCTCCTTTGCCAGGGTTTGGCTTTGCCTCTGCAGAGGCATTGGGGCTCTGTGACCCTGCTGCCAGCCTTTGGGAAGCAGGCCAGGCCCGTATCTTTAGAGGTGTACATCCTGCAGCCTGGGTATGGCCTCTGCTGTGGGGAAGCCCAAGCCCCCTCCTCAGAGGGCTGAGCTGGCACTGGAGTCTCTCTTGGGGACTCACCTCTTGCAGCAGTGGCACCCCAGCCGGCCACCCAGCAGTTTTGCAGCTCTGAGACTCTTATGGTGGGGTCAGCCACACAGGCCACCTGGACGTAGGGGTTGCAGTCAACAGGCTTGTTCAGTTTCAGCAAGGCAATGTCATTACTTTTGTCACTTGGATTATAGTTTTCATGACGTATTAACTTCTTAATCCGTCTCAGTTGCGCTCCAGGTCCTGGCTTAGTCAACTGAGTGGCGCCAATCACCAGATACACCACGCCAATTTTCCTGGAAAGTACATGTAAAGAGGGCTGAGAGGGAGCAGAGCCATGTGCCACAGCAGCCCAGCAGTTGCCAGACCTCTGCTTGGCCAGGCAGAGAGGGAGGAGTGCTCTGGCAGGTGTGAGTGCCCTTGCACATCTTAGGCTGGGGGAATGTCAAGCTGGAGGCTGCTAGGAAGCCTTGGCACGAGCCCAGGCTTCTCCTGAGCACTGTGGCAGCCTGGCTGCCTGAGAGGAAAGGGCATGGGAGTAGCAGGTGATGCTGATGGCAGGGCATCTGCTGGTGGTGTGGACATGTCCCCATTTCTGGCATCTCTTTACCTGACGGGGTCAAAGCAGTGGGCTGCTGTGAGAACCCACTCTGCAGTGATGAGAGAACCTCCACACAGGTGTCTTGTGCCTGGTATTGCAGGATGTTTAAGGCTGACGATCCAGGGCCAGGCCCCTGGTTTGGCATCNGAAACAGGGCAACCATTGGCTCGTTGGAGCCACCTGTGCTTCCAAAATGGTCACCCAGGGGAGTTTCCTCAGCACTTTGGCAGCCCAGATGGGACCTTAGAGCCTCACTCTTCCAAAGATGCAACTGTTGGCAGCAGGTGAGGTCACCTGGGATCTTTAGAGCAGGAAGGAACCAAATGGGGAGTGTTACAATTTCATGCGCAAACTCTGTGTAAATTATAAGGGTGCATTTGAACCTTTCTATTGTTGTGGCATTTGGTGCAGATTTGATTAAATCACTGGTAGAGAGTGGAGAAGGCACACACAGCATGACCAGTGTAAGGCAGCCACAGAGGAGCTGGGGAGACACCCATAAGGTATGAGGTGGGGGGCCCTGAGTCTCTGCTAGGATAGTCAAGTCTCTGCTCAAAGGGTTTTGGAGACAGGCCAGAGGGAGAGCCTTGTGTCCCTCGTGCCAGGGTGCTAGTGCCCCTGGGCTCACACAGAAGGGGGTGGAAGTCTCTTTTTGGCATGAAAAAGGAGTTTCATATCCCTAGTAATTTTTGACATGATGGGAAATATTCTTGTTGTAGTTCAGAGGACACCTGTGGCTGAGCTTGTGTAACATTGACAGAAATTTTTATGGGCAGAATTTTGCCAAGACAGCACTGTAAAGCTGTGCCAGGGCAATAGGTTGATTCTAAGCTGGTCTCCTCACTGGGCAGGGTAATGGCCTTCTGCTGCCTTGCGTGACACTCTTGCAATCAGTGTCTTTAGTGAGCCGGCAGCCCCTAACTCAAGTCAGGGTGGCAGAGACCAGTACAGATGATGGATGGTTCTTCTCAGCAAAGCCGATCTTGATTAACACAAAGGGAAGAGTGTCACCTGCTGTGAGGCAGGACTCCATTGGCCTGGAAGCCAAGAGAATGTAGTTGGCACATGTCTTCCCCAAGGCATTCCAAGATCCTCTACCATTCCACCCCTCCTTGCCCCCTGCAGCCCTCAGTATCAAAATTTGATTGAAAGGATTTAGAATTAGGGCACAAATGTGTACAGTTTTTAGATGATTTGTTAATTAGCAAGTGGAGAAAAGAAATTTCTTGCCCATCCTGTGGTGATTATCTACAGCTCTCAGGCAAACCAGCACACCAAGCTGCAGTTTGTGTCTCTGCAGCTGGCTCTTTGATTGCTCCGTCCCTCCATTGCCACGCTTATTCAGCCCTCTCATCTTCCACAACTCCTCCCTTTTCCCTGCCCTCGTCTGCTCCCAGATATGGAGCCAGGCCCAGGCATCATTTCCCCCTGGCTCACAGGCTGGCCATGCCTGTGAACAGCCTTGGTNGGCCATGGGGGACAGGTGGGTCCCCTCCAGGGAAGGCCGCAAGTGTTGGCAGGCTCCTTCCCTGGGCCTGGGCCCACTTACCCGCAGCTGTCCCATGTCCCATGCGACAGCCCGGCCATGGTCAGCAGGATGAGGAGGCTGAGCCAATTCATGTCTGCCAGAGGCACGAGTCAGCTGCAAGCACTGAGAGCTCCGTGCAGCAGCACAGTCACAGCCGCACTGCCTGCAGCAGCTGTGCTGCCCGTGGTGCCCTCAGGGCTGATGTCACAGAGAGGTGGGTTCCATGTTCTGGGTACTGTGGGGATCTGTGGTACAGGGGTCATGGAGGGCAGAATAACATTGAATCAAAGAACCATAGAATGGTTTGGGGTACAAGAGACCTTGGAGATCCTCTAGGTCTGACCCTCCTGCCATTGGCAGAGAGGGATAGCTTGTACTAGACACTGTTGCTCAGACCCTGGCTCAGAAACTTGTTCTTATGCGCTTTGAGTGATGGGGAGTCCAAAATGGGCAACCCATTTTGGTGCCTCCGCAACCTCATAGTCAAGTTCTTCCTAATATCTTATCTAAACCTACTCTCTCTCCTTTTGAAGCCTTTCCCTTTTATAATTTCTTGTGTTGACTCCAAATAAATAATTACCTGGATTTTATATAGTGTATACATCTGTATATAGCCTAATTGTCTATTTTTGTAAACTGCATTAAAACCTTTGTTCAGCAGCATATATTCCAATGCAAATTATTATTCTTACTGGAAATGTATTGTTAATTTTGGCTATCAAGTGTTTATCTGTATTTCTTTAGGAACTTTGCTTAAAATTGTCAGATGTTTTCCAAAACATAGTTTTGTTTTCTGTAGCCATCCATATATGTATAATGAATCATTAAAAATTTGGAACTATTGAAGTTATAACAAACACATGAAGAGTTATTGCATACCCAAACTGTTAATATGAGTTTATATGCACTCAAGACTGTCTTGAAATATCAGGTTATTTGCTGAGTATTCATTGCCTTATTTTATGCTTTCATTGGTATCTTGGTAGTTTTTAACTTGACTTCATGTACAGCAAACCAGACAGAGATATGACAGTCTTACACTGTTCACTATTCTCTAATGAGGAAAGTTTTCATAATGTCATGAAAGCTTCATTAAAGAATGTCAAACCATGTTGTTAATTTAATTTCTTCCATACTCTTTATTAATTCAGTTGACATTACTAGTGACTGTGCATGTTGCAATTCTAAAATGTCATTAAACAGTTTTGTTTACAGGCTTTATAAGTTTACTTAGAGCGTCTGCAAATTCACCAGCCTCTTGTTCCAACTTTTCCCACACTGTGACCTTGTTTTTGAAGAGGATCCTTCGTATTACTCCACATAATTTAATTCTATGCTTGTTCAGAAAAACAGGATTGAACAACTCTCTATTGAATAACCATAGGATTATTCAACTGTGTAAATTCAAGTCTAACCTGTGTGTTGCCTGAGGAGCCATAGATTTGAAATGTAAACATAAAATGTTCTTGTAGTTGCCAAGGGCAAAATTACTGAGCCCTGATTACTTGTCCTGGGTACAGAGGAAAAGACAGATGGAGTGTCTAGCACTCTCTAATTCAATACCACCTAGCTCATTGAGGGGCCGTGGTATTAGCAGGAAATCTGGGGCCCTGGAAGCAGAAAGCTCCTCATCTTTTTGCCAGGCTTGTGGAAGGCGCTGAGACTGCGAGGCTGCTCAGCACCCAGATAAAGCCACCTTGGCCACTGCAGAGTCCCACTGCTGCCACCTCAGGTATATTTTATATAGAATGAATTATTCATTATGACATAATAGTAGATGAAAGATCTTAACTAATACAAAAGTACTAAAACTACTAGTAGTGTATAGTACAGGGTAATAAAGTGCACTGTATCAAAGCAATTATATTAAAGATACCAAAAAAAACAATGCCAGCCTCTCTCTCTTCAGGAAGTGTTTGTGTTTGTTCTATGCTGAATACCCTCTTGTGGATATTGCCTCTTTTGTGCCCTCTTTTATTGGTACTGCATTTATTACAAGCTTTTCAGCAAAATTGTGATTCCTGCTAGTGTTTTGTTGCTTGTTGGAAGAGGGTGGAGGAGGAGATGCAGTTCAGTGGGGTTAACTTTCCCGCTAGGTTTTAAACCAGCACATCACTACAACAAAAGAGAACAGCTGAAGACATTAAAAAGTTGTCAGGGTAAATTAAAGCCAGTTTCTTTGCATATCTCACAAGAGATTTTCTGGTCTTGATAACCTGGTATAGTTTCTGCCTTTAGGGCAATCCAGCTGGAGCCCATTTGGCATGAAACTTCTGTGAGTAAAAATTTGTTTTTACTTTATCTTAGAAGGTATTTAAGGACCACGTAGAAGACCTAGACCACAAACCCAACTTGCAAAATAACTTGGACTTTCTCAGTTATTTCTGCTTTTCTCAGTTATATCTGCTTTTAGCTACATAAGACACACATTGCTATCTATCACACAAAAGAGTCTTGTGAGAAAACAAGGAAGAGTTCTCATATACATATATGTACGTGTTTGTGTACACATAAACGGCTAGTCAAGTAAGATCCATTAAAAATTTGTCAATTCTTATGCATAGGGGAATTTGTATTTCTTCGGGGTCCAGAAAACATCCCTTGGTGTTCTTCCCAAATATTCTTGGACACGCGTCCCAGAGAGCGCGATCGCACACCACAATGGCGCACCCGACAAGATTAAACAGCCTCAAGCTGCGCCAAGGGAAGCTCAGGTGGGACGTCGGAGGACACGCGTCCCAGAAAGCGCGATCTCATACCGCAATGGCGCACCCTGGGGGGNTGCTTCATGGCCTGCTGTGGCTCAGGCTGAAGCTCAGCCCTCTGCCCTCCCCACAAGGCCTTGCATGCACAGCAGGCCAGGGAAGGCCATGGGGTGTGTGTCTGTCCGTGCCAGCACCTGGCTGCTGGCAAGGAACTGAGGCTTCCCATGGTGGGTGGGAAGCTGTGGCCCAGCTTCATCCACAGGCAGGTCCTCTCCAGGGAAGGCCACAAGTGTTGCCATGGCTTCCTCCCTGGGCCTAGGGCCCACTTACCCGCAGGTGTACTGGCTCTGTGCCAGCCTGGCCATGGTTAGCAGGACGAGGAGGCCAAAATAATCCATGGCTGCCAAGGCATTCCAAGTGTCAGCTGGAAGCTCTGAGGGCTCCGTGCAGCAGCACAGTCACAGCCGCACTGCCCGCAGCAGTCGCGCTGCCCGTGGTGACCTCAGCCCCGGGGCTGATGTCATGGAGGGGTGGGTTCTGTACTCTGAGCACTGTGGCCCATGTCAAGGGGGCCCACTGGGGTAGGGGCTATACCAAATCAAAGAGCCATCGAATGGTTTGGGTTGGAAGGAAGCTTGGAGGTCATCTACCTCCAACGCTCTGCCGTGGGCAGGGAGGAATACCAGTAGGGATCCCAGGGAGGGATGGGGAGGGTCTTGCACTAGACCTGGCTGCCCAGAGTGTCTAGAGCTTGGCTTGAGAACAGTACTTGAACAAACTAATGCAAGTGCCTCAGTACCCTCACAATCCGGAATTTCTTCTTATGATCTCATCTAAAGCTACCTCTGTTCCTGTAAAGCCATTGTCCCTTGTCCTATCAGGACCTGCCCTTGTAAGAAAGTATGGAGAAATGGCTACATGACAGAGGTCACATAGACATTCGCTTG